TTGCAAATATATGGAGCTCCTACTTTGAGTTCTGCTATGTTTACTTTCTCATTGACAATTTCTTCAATATCATTTTCTGTCATGTTATCTGTCTCATATACATCATTTATGTATGTTATTCTTTCCTTTTTCAAGGGTTTCTCATATTTCTTATACCTTTGTTTCTCATACTTTATTTGTTCCACTCTTCTCACTTTATCGGCTAATTGAGCCATGTCATTCAATGGTAAATTGACTAGTTTTTTCCTAATTGAGAATTCTAAGCCTGCAGAGGCCATTCTGACTAATTCATATTCAGGAATTTGAGTAAAGCATCTCGATTTCATTTGTCTAAATCGATTCAAATAATCATCTATGCTTTCATGATTGTATATTTTTATATTCATCAAGTCGATGAGACTTACTTGAGTTTCTCCTCTAAAGAATTGCTCATGAAAATTTCTTTCCAGTTGCAGCCAATTATATATTGAATTGGGTGGCAACGAAGTAAACCAAGTAAAAGCATTCTTAGTCAAAGAACTAGGAAAATATTTCATTTTTAATTCCTCACTCATCGCTAGATCCCCACATTCGATCTGATATCGAGCTACATGCTCGATAGTTGATTCACCAACTTCTCCAGCAAATTTGGTGAATTTAGGTACTTTGTATCCTCGAGGTAATTCCGTCTCGAGAATCGCATTTGGAAAGGGAGACACAAAGTATGTTTGATTAAGTGGTCTAAATTCTATCCCTTGTAAGTTCATCCTCTGTCCTAACATGTTATTCTGATTGTGTATATTTTGAAATCCCTCGTTCAAATTCCCATAAATATCATTCCTCACATGTTGGTACTCATTCCCCATATGTTGATGTTGATCATTGTTTCTATTTCTCCTCAATAGATATGGGGGATTGATATTAGTATTCTGGTTAGCATGATTTTCTACCCTTGTTTGTCGAGGTACAGCCAATGCATCCCCGATTCGTGACATTTGGTCTGCTAATATCTCAAAACTAGCGGTAGTGTTTTGAACTAATGGATTTAGGATTGTAGTCAACTGTTGTGATAACATATTCACCATCTCAAAATTACTCTCATCCATTTGTTGTCTAAGTGCCCCTAATGAATTACTAGATATTCCGGTACCAGTGTTTTCGATAGTTTCGAAATTGGATCGATGATAATCTCTATCGAATGTATGTCTCCCATGATCCAGATTTCCTCTATGATCTAGATTTGAAGGTATTTGTTGTGTACCTGAATTCTGTCCGCTTCCTAAATTCTGGGGGATTGCTAAGTTTTGAGATGTCCCTACATTTGGAGGGACTCCGAAATTCTGCGGCATACCTAGTGTTTGAGGCATTCCTAAGTTATATCTTAAATTCCAAGTTCCAGCCCCACTCATATTATTAAGTGAAAATCCGGGCGGTCTTACACTCATATATGGCCCTACATATGTGGTTGTGGGGTTTCCTACAGTTTGCATATTATTTGGTACCACCACACTAGATCCTACTTGGGTATTTGCTAAGGTGCCTGAAGTTTGTTCATTACCCACAGGTATCGACATACTCGCAGTTGTCGATGTTACAGGCATATTCCCATTATGACTTTGCCCCCCAGTATTTGGTAAATGTACACCATTTAGACCCTCACTATTACTCTGGTTATTTGAAGAATTTTGACTCATTCTTATAATTCTCCCACTCCTTAATCTCATACACTTTCGAACTAACCAATTGTGTATTTTCAACACAAGTAACCCCTACCTGGCGCGCCAATTTGTTTCTGGTGGAATTCCGATCGATTTTGATTTTTAAAATATTTTGATCCTAATCAAAATTCTGCCACGTAAGTTCTTTTTCTTAGGCTAGCAAATCAATTTTCAATCGAAATGCGTATGAGGATCGAGTTTTACCCGATTTCAAAGATACTATTTTTAGTGTTTTGTATTTAAAGCGCTCGAAGTAAAGAAAGCACAAAATATATGGAATCGAAAAGCAGTACTGAAACTTAGATTGTAAAGAAACGTAAACTACGAAAATCTTAAATTTGCTTTAAGTGTAAAAGACAGGGAATCGAAACAGCAATAATGTAAATAACGAGAAATCGAATTTGCAGGAAATGTAAAGGATAGTAAATCAAAGGTGCAATAAATGACTGGAAATCGAAATTGCATTAATGTAAAATGACCAGAGAATTTAAACACGAAAACTTAACTTGCATTGAATCGAAATGACCAAGAATTGAAAATACAGAAACATAAAATAGCTGAATATAAACTGCATCAAAATAAATTACCAAGGAAAATAAAGAAAGCGATAAAGGTACTCCGTGAGCATGGAAATCCAGATTGCCAGAAGCTTCATGGTGTTTGTCGTTTCTCCGGTAGACTTTTTCACTACTGATTCTGTTCTCTGCCAATTTTCTGCTCCTTGTTCCTTCCTCCTTTGCTCTATTTATAGGGCATCATTCAAGCCTTCCAGGAGCAGTTAACAAAATTGCTACCACGTTCTACGTGCATGTTGCAGTTTATCTTCTACGGTTTCCCACGTTCTCACGATCTTCGACGTCTATTATGGTTTAGAAACTGCTTCCTATATGTGCGTTTGACTATTCTTCCTTTCACGGTTTGGCCAAAATCTCGATGTCCACGTAGGTTGGCCTTCTTCACTTTCGATTTTGTGTTTTCGAGAACTCCAAATTGTTTATGATTCCTTTTTAACCTTGACCTCATATGACTCTAATTTCTTAGTTTTTATTCGACAATAGACATTTGGCTATCATTCACTCAATTTTCGATTGTGTTTCTCGATGTTATGTGCTACGTACTTCTAATTAGACATCGAATGGTTTTTTATCGATTTATCAATCAGTCACATTTCTTTCCTTCATTTCCGATCGCTTTTCTCGATTTGTCACTATCACAAGTTAAATAAAAGCAAGTTTAAGTTTAACTTAAATAAAACTCGAGTGATGTTTTGAATAAGTCTGCTTGCTGGGTCTCTTGTAAGCAAGCATAGAATAGTCTAAATATTGAACCTAATAATCAAACATTGAGTGTTTCAATCTAAAAGTTTTGAATAGTTGAGTCAAAGTCTCGATATTGGATTCCATAAAATAATATTTATTTTATATAGGATGAATGTCAACTATTTTTTTTTTTAAAGTATGGTCATTTCATTGACAATCAGAGAAAGACTTGGTCCTTATCCACCAAAATTTGATGTCAAGTACGTGTGAGTCAGTGATGCAAGCCACAAACCGTTTCAACTTCACTATTTGTTGTTAGGATTTTTGCTTTTGTAGGAGGCAATGTTAAGTGCTACAAACTATTTGAACAAAGTATCTGGTGTCTACTATTCATTCTTCCTTGTTATTTTAGATAGAGATCGTCTATTATTTCTTGCCAACGCTAGGTTCCCCTGTATTGAGGGTAGGTTTGGGTTTTATGCATTCATTATAAATAAATTGCGGAGATAATAACGCAATATGCATTGCATGCTTCTTTTCCTTCTCTTCATTTCACTCATAATCAATCGGAGGTTGGAACTCCTCAATTATAAACACAGCCACGTTTTCATTAATTTTATATATAAGTGAACTGTTGACCTAACTAATTTTAGATTTATTACTAAATAACGAGTTTAGGAGACAAGATATTGAATCCTGAATATCGTTATTAGATCCTTATATCACTTGACAAACTTTGTCTGGAATAATTTTAATTTATTGTTACAAACAAATATTAATTACATTATACAGAGACTTCAAAATCATTAGCATTATTTACGGTCACAAACTATCTTTTAAAAAACTTTTATAAATAATCCAAATGAATAAACCAAAGTGAAATAATTCATTTTAATATAATACCTATCCATACTTACAGGACCCGGAGTCTAGTTGCATACCAACCATTATTCTAACGAAAACAATTTCCCATTTATAAGCTTTTATTTTGTATATAAAGAAATTCTTAAAAAAAAAAAAACATTTTGCTAGTTATAATTAAAAGGAAATGTACAAACTAAAAGAACTCTTATTGATGTCTTTTCTTAACTTTTATTACACTCGTATTGTATTTAAGCGTTATAACTGGAGTAGTCCCCTAAAGTGGTGTGAAGTGATGTCCAAATAGAATGAACCTAGCCTCTTATTATTATTATTATTAATAAAAAAAAAATTATTTGGGTGGTTTCCACTTCCAAAGTCCAAAGATTCAGTACCAAGAATCTGCATCCTGGTCCATCCGATGCACGTAATTGATTGAATGGTTGTTGCTGGTTTATCCCTCTTTCAAATAATGACCTGTCCCACCACCAACTACTACTTCACCCACATGCAAGCACGTTACATGTATAGCACTTAAAAACAATTGCCCACTGCACTAACACCACGGTGTTCTAATAATATGATACAAAGGGGAACGCATGTTCTCAAGTCACGAAACTATTTGACCCACTACTTTCAACCAAACAACTCCATTCAATCCTCCAACAAAAACACGACGATAAAGTTCAACAAATCCACCACCATTTGCCACACTAACACACCTTCAGTGGCCACAAAAATGAGTGCGATGCCACCAAACAACTCCAACGCCTCAATCACACTCAAAAACCTCTCCGTCTGACCCACCACTCCACCTCTCTCACGAAACCCAAAACAGATAGCTGAACTAAGTTGAACGATTCAATTTTAATTTTCAACCCAAGCTATATAATAAATAAAAAATGCCCAAAACATAATTTATCTTCATAATTAAACTGCTGTTTCTCTGCTTAACTTGAACTAATTGTATTGCATTAAATAAAATAAAGAACGCTAAGCAAAATGGGATACAACGTTACAAACAATCAATGCCTAATTTCTATTCCTAATAATTTCCGTCACCTAACTACGGTCTAGCACTAACTATAACTGAAGAACCACTAAATAAATATCATACAAAAAAAACCGGTTCAAACCGGTTTTTGTATACCTAATCTGCAATGTTTTTCCTAATCTGAAAATATCAGCAGGTGGGAACCATTTGGGCCTGGGCCGAACCGGTGTCCGGTCCAGCCACCCCTTTCTTCTTCCGAATCTCCAACACTTTCCGGTGACTATTGGAGTGAATATCGCTGCAGAAAGTTGGGCTACAAGCCGGTCTATACTCCGAAAAAAGTCGACCCGATTTGTACCGAACCCCGCATGCGTTGCAGAGGGTTTTCGCGCCCAGTGGGCCCGTCCTCCACTGCGGCGTCTTCTGCACCTGACAGTGACTGCACCGCCGCTGAACCTGGGTCCCAACGGGCTGGGTCTCGGCCCGCTTCTTCTGCTTCTTCGCGGGAGGCTCCGTCACCGAAGAAGAGCACGAAGACGGCGAGGACGGGAGCGACAGCAACGGGCCCAAAGTCCACACGCGAGCGTTAGGCTTTCTATTCCGTACAGTTCTCGCCTTGGTAGTTATTTTCATTTCACACGGAAAACGAGGCGTTTTCTTCGCTGAGGGTTCCGGTTCAACCCGCCGGTTCGCTTCCTCCGAACGAACCGGGTATAAAAGTGACAGCTCCGGGAGAGAATCGTCAACAAAGTGTGAAACCCACTCTAGGTCCTCCAAATCACCGGCCTACACATAATTTCAATTATCAGAAAACGAAATTAGCAATAAAAAACAAAAATAGGGTTAGAAAAAGGGAGCAAAAGAAAAGAGAGAGAGATTTACCGGAACGACTAATTCGGCGGAGAAAAGTGAATCATAGGAAACGCCGGTGGAATTGGAGTTGCTATCGTCTTCCCCGCGGTCTTGTGACTGCGACGAAGCGGATAAACTTTTCTTTCCTTCGTCGTATTCTTGTTGTTCGTAGTGAAGAGCGCCGTCTGAGAAGTCAAAAAGGTCGTCGACGGAGAAATCGTCGCCGGCGACGGTGTTAGCGTTCAGGCAGAAAAAATCCTCGCAGTGCGTTTGCTGAACGATGAACTCTCTTCTTAAACTCTGTTTCAACGCTTTGTCAACGGCTACCTCCATTTCTACGCACAAATTGAAGCAGAGTTTTGAGTTAAAGCAGTCGCAGAAGGAGAGTGAAAGTTTATTTTTCTAGTATTAATTTATTTGGTCATTAATTAATTATTACCTGTGAAGACGAAGAAGGATATAGGGGAAACCGCCGAGGAGTTTGGTTAGGTTTGAAGTTTGAAGCAACGATGAATGAGACGAGAGAGAGAGTTTCGTGGTTGATATTGGTGGTGGTATTTAATTTCTTTAACTTTATCTCTCTTTCCGTTCTCTCTTATCAGGATCTCTGTTCCTGCACCTTTTTTCAATTTAAATAAATAAATAACAAATAATATAAATATATACGCAGAGTACTAAATCTTGGTTGTAAGATGGTGGCAAGCGTGTGATATTTGGTCACGTGGTGGGGCTTCCCTATTATTAGTACTCCTTTTTCTTTTTTTCTTTTTCTTTTAAATTTGAATGGATCCTTCCTTGATGGCTCCGTAAATTCAAAAGTTCTGGCCTCGATGATTCTTGTTTTTGACCGAACCTAGGATTAAAAGAAAAACAGGCCCGGTCCAATGCAAGTGCATAAAAACAAAAACGTTAAATCACACGCCGGTTTTGACTGTTACAACGGCGTGGCACCGTGATTGAGTTTTCCGTTATACGTGCGATGAAGGGCGCTAGCAGTTTTCAAAAGGAGTGGGGTGGGGAGGTTACGAATAATTACTACTTTGCTTGCATGCTTTGCTGTTTGCAGGTTTGTGATTGGAGGAGTTAAGACATGTCAGATTTTGTTTTGCGTTTGGCGCGTGAAGCTTTATATCTTGTTTTGACTTTTAATTGCCTCATAAGGCGTTTAGATTGGTGACCTCATCTTTACATTTGGGGCCATTACTTCCTCTTTTCAACCTTCTCCACTCTTAGCTGTCATCCCCAACACACTTATCTTCCTTTCTTTTCAATTAAGCAAAATATTATTACAATTCCACTTAAACTTACCCGTTCCAATACTTCTATTTATATACTCTATTACTATTTTTCAAATATATATAATATTCCCATCTATCTTATTTAGAAAGTTTATATATTGAAATCGTGTACCGTATATGTAGAAGGACGTTAAATAGAAATACGAATGTGCAACTCGAGGACAAATTAGGAAAAAAATTACCAAAATTGCTTGTATTATTACGATTTTTTTTTATACAAATATATAATACATTTATCAATAATAAGTATTTTAAAATAAGTATTACCGTATTTCATAAGTTTCTCACACTTTTGTTTTCAAAGTTAAATATCTTAAATGTAATATTTTATCTTCACTTTTTTTATAGTTAAATAATAAGATTAATCACCTGAAATATTATTTATTCACTTATAATAATATCTCATAGTTCATATTAACAAACTACATAAACTAAGACTAAGATAAGTTATTAATAAAATTATTTATTCGTATGATTATCACAAAATATTATCAGTTTTTCACATTTTAATAAATAATAAAAGCACCACAACTATACAATAAATCAAATATTTAATATCTTAATATATAAGTTACATTTTATGTCATCATATATTGACACTCAACATAATAAACACTTGATCATATTTTTGGAAGACTCTTATGCGTTGAATTTAGATTTGGAGATTTATACCTCTCACATTACATTTTCTAAGTGGATATCTCCAATATAGTTACATAAATTGAACATATTCTCTCATGTGACAAGGTAAATTCTTTATGACTTATTAGATATATTTTTTTGTTCACACCACAAGCTAAGTTACAGATACCTCCTTCAACTTTCACCACATGATATTTTTCTCTACGTGAGTCCAAAATTAGTAAAGTTAGGATATCTCCTTCATAATTCCAAATTCAATATATTATTTACATATCAACATAGTATTCCCTTCTTGAAAATTACTACGTTAACTTTCATCAAAACATAATATATATATATATATATATATATATATATATATAAATGTATCACATGATATTTCTCACATTACAACAATATCTTCTATTATCCTACTTCGTGTATATATAAATTCTCACATTTAAACAAGTAATGAATATGTGGGATTTACCTATATCTATTATTTTGAGCATAACTTTTTATACTAATATCCTTTTTAACTAATTTTTATTTTATTGGATTCTTTATTTTAAGGGTTTCAATTTGCATGTATGGAACGTTAGATTTAGAATCATGAGCTATTTTTTATGATTCATAGAAGTTCAGATAGAAAAAATATAAGAAATTTTACTTGAGCAAAATACACTCGAAACTCACATTCTTTTTTTTTTTTTTAAATGTTCGCTTGAGCGAAAAATTACTAATTCGAGCGAGACTCACTTTTACTTTAGCGAAAATATACCCGAGATAAATCTCTTCAACTAAAAGTTTTTTTGCTTGAGCGAAAATATACCTGAGTCAAGCCTCTTCCACTAGAAGTTTTCTCGCTTGAGCTATATATTTTTTGATAAAAAATGCCCCCAAGAGGAGTCATTTCCACTTCTACATATATTTGATTAAGCGAAATATATAAATAACAAACATGCTAAATTTATGTTAAACTACACTTCAAACATCAAACACTAGCTTATGAGACTCTATTACTCAATTTCCTTTCATACTTACTCTAATTATAATTATCATACCCTAACAGCTTTATATATATCATTACTTTAAACTTAACTCATTCAATCAAAATTTAAAATACAACTCAAATTTCAATTTCCTACAAATTAAATAATGTGACAAAGTCACTTCCACAATCTAAATATTTGAACCTATAATACTATGGAAATAAAAAAACAACTAACTTTCCTTATCTTCTGATAAACTTGAAAGTTTACAAATACTCAATTTTTTAAGAAATAAGATTCTACTCACAAAACTTCAATTAACAAATCAAATATATTATAATGTTCATAAATTAATTAAGATTCATATTTATCTACCAATGTTACATACAAGATTGGAACCACCATATACAAATCTTAACTTTTTAAATTAATAAGTAATGCTGGATTTATTGATGAAATTTATTCCTTTATATATTAATCTAACTCTATTTATTATTAGTTATATTTACTTTCCTACAATTATTTTATGATTTATAAAAATTATATATTCCATTTCATATCTATTATTTAAGGAATTAAACTTCATTAAATACATTATAAAATATCATGAACTTTAACTAATGAGTAATGAATAACTTATCTGTGTTTTGTAAACCTTTGATTAAAGATTCAGGAATAGGAATGATATAATACAACAGTCCATTTTATTCCTACAGAGGGTGTCATTGTATCACCTTCACAGTAATAAAAATTGATATAGTACGAAAATGTGTTATATAATTAAGAAAATCATTATATACATATACAGAGATAGATATAAGTATAATTATCTTTAAATATAATGTTTTTTATTATATTAAGATATAGAAAAAATTGATTATATATATTATCAAGGTACATATTTTAAGAAAAAAATAATAATAAGTTGATTTTAAATTTATAAATACTATATATATATATATATATATATATATATATATATATATATATATATATATATATATTATAAAGTATACGTTGAATCCCGTATTAGCCAATATATAATACTCGGACTCTAATTAGTGTTTAATTATATTAAATTAATATTTATAAAATCATATTGCGACATGATTTTTTTATAAGAAAACCTTCTGTATTTATTTATTTAAATATTGATGTTTTTTGGATATTAGCATTTTAAAATGCATAACTATAACATCTTTTGGCAAGGTCATCCATGAATATTGTAGTTGTTTGTGGTACCAAGTTTACCTGAAACCAGACATGTTCAAAACTATTTTCTTACAATGCCAAAAATAAAACCGTAAATCAAATTCTGATATAAATTATTTACACTCTATAACTAAGTCAACCGAATGAGTTTTGCGCAGAAAAACTAGAATATTATCTCTATAAAATAGTAAAATATCTAAATATGTTAATTACTCTACTTCGTAATCATGTAATATATCACATGGAAAGATCTTAATATATCGTATCACTTATTCTTTGGGATATTTTACCAATTGCCTAATGGGTAATGGCTGTAATGGGAATAAAAAAAAAAAAGGCTTTGTTTTCTTGTTGAAATAATAAAAATAGAAAAAAGTAGCTTCTTTATGCCACTTTCAATCTTTTGTCCTGTCCTCCCAAAGAATTGAAACTTTTCATACAGGAAGATATGTGGTTCCTTTCTCCCGCTTTAAACATTTGTTTTCGTGTTTATTTACCTTCTTATGTTTCAGCATGTGGTTTTACTTTTAGGTCATCCTTTTAGGTGTGTTTGGTAGAAAATAAAAGAGATGAGAAATAGGACAAAATTACAACTTAAGGAAATGCACATTTTGTTTCAATGGATGGTAGTTTTAAGCGTTTTTGGCAATTTTTTTTGGTTATTTTTTATATTCAGTGCTTTTGTTGATTTTAAACCAAAGTAATTTTCAATCAAAAATCATCTAAACAAATAAAAAAATTGATGACACTATTAATGCATTAAAAATAACTCTATTTTGTGGACCATACCTTTGACTCTCAGAAATTGTTTTATTAAACATTATTAATAATAAAAAGTAATTCTTATTTAAAGTAACACGTGTTGAAACCAAACTAAGTTGAAACATGACGGGGAATTAACTACCAAACGCGTGTAAACAACATTGATACGTGGATGGTCATGCTCGTTTGGGAGGTTTTGAGGAAAGTGTTATATATATATATATATATATATATATATATATATATATATATATATATATATATATATATATATATATATATATATATATATATATATATATATATATATATATATATGATCTTAAAATGTTTGATTATGATAAACTAACTAATATTATTAATTTTCTAATCAAATCAATTGATTTAATTTGACATTATGCTTTAATTATGCAAGAAATTTGTTAAAAAAAATAGCATGCAGGATTTTTTTATAAAATTATTATTTTTTTACATTAAATTAACTATTTGATATAGTTTTTATTTTTATTTTTTAGGTAAAGCAGGTTAACTGTTTGATTAATTATTTTTACAATAAATTTTTACATAAATTATTTAAAGATTACTTCATAAGAACTATATCATATTTACAAAATACAATGAAAATTATTATTTATTACTTGTCAGTGAAAAACTGTAACAAAACAAATTAATTTGTTAATAACTTCTAAAGATAATTATTGAAAGGTTTAATAATATGCATCCATTGAGAAATTAAAAATAACTTTGTATGGATTGAGAGGTTTAAAATAATGTTATAAAAATATAACAAGAATATCTAGTATGATTTTGTTAACTGGGGACACACATGTAATTTGGCTTTAAACCAGGACTAAATTTTTAATTTATTATTATATCTCCATTTCACCTAAACCTTATACGTTAGGTCATGCTATACTTAATTTGAAAGTATATTGCAACGTACAAATCTTTTTATGCACGTCTATAAGAAATAAATAATTTTTCTTTCACTAATTCATGCATAAATTAAAATTAAAATTTTACTTATTATTTTTCAATTAATTAATTAATTAATTAATTAATTAATTATATATATATATATATATATATAATTTTTAACATATGAAAAATTGATAATTATTTTTTAAAATTTTTATAAAGATATTTCAGTGTTTCATTCTTACCTGCCCCAGTTTTCCAACCACGTGGTGAGATATTTCATTTGGATAACCATGTGCCTATTTTTTCTTTGTTTGTATTAAATAATAAAATAATTTTTTTTTCAGTGGTCAAGGTTTGTATGTTTTTGCCAAATGTTGAATTAAAGAATAAAAAAACTCAAATTATTATTCAAGTTATTAATTGCTTATCTAGTAATCTTCCTATTAAATGGTAAACGGTTGTGTTTTAGGTCATCCTACAAATAATTGTACATATGAAACTTACAAGTATATTTCATCACTTTTATGAATGTTTGTATTTGTTAATGGTTAATGATATATGTTTTTATTGACCATAACCCTTAATAAGGAACTATGTTATAGATTAACTTACAAAATCAAAGTTAGTAATGGTTATGACTAATGACTTTATTATAAGTTTTATTTTTGGTAGATATGTTTTTGATGTTAATATTTTTTTATTTTAAATTTGTGTAAAAATATTATTCGTTTAATCAAGTTTCAAATAAATACCTTTGGTTCTTATCACCAATACGAGTGTTTGTAATTAAGTTTAATTTTTTAAAATGTTAAATATAATTTCGATTTATTCGATTTAAATAATAATATTATGAATCAAAATAAATCAATGTTTCGATTTAAATCAATTTTTACGATTTTTTTTACTAAATTTGTTAAACATATTTTATAAAAAAATTGTTAAATATTTCAAAATAGATATGTTATGAATTATTTTTATATGATTGTTGTTGATTTATATTTTTTTTGTCATATTTATAAATAATTCACATAACCTTAAAAAATATAATGTATTATTGTATATTGATAAATTTAAATATATTTTAAATAAAATATAATTAAATTATAGAATAATATTTAGGAAATTTATCTCTGTATATTTTGTTAGTTGTTGATTTACATTAAATATTTTACACTATATTGATTGTCCTATCAAACACTTAATACACGTAGTTTTAAAAAATCTAACCCCTCAAATGGATATTATTTATTTGTAAAAGTTAATAACATTTATTTTAATTAATATTTGAAAGAATAAATATCAATTCGAATAGAAAATATTTTTAATACGTAATTTTAATATAATATTGAGACCGTTATTGAAACAATTGATAACAGTAATTATTTTAATTGTTGTGGTGTATTTCATATCCGAAAATAATTACCAATCACTTAAAAAATAAAATAATATAAATAAAATAACAGCTTCTAAACTATACATAAAACGGACAATTTTTTAACCGTCAATAAGAGAGTTTTTAATCGTTGTTAAAAATTTTTACGATAATGTCAAAAGTTATTTATATTGATAAATTAAGTTTTTCTCGTGAAATAAAATAGAATTTATTTTTTAGAAAAATAAAATAAAATAATTATTATATAAATACATAAATGAAATTTTTTTTGTAATTAGGAAAATTACATATATTATATACTTATTATAAATTTTGTTCAAATTTTATAATTTTCAAGTTTTGTAAAAAAAAAAAATATATATATATATATATATATATATATATATATATATATATATATATATATATAACATTCCATCATAAAAATGAAGGCAGAAAAGTGTTTTGTGATCCCTATCTTCACAAACACTACAACACCAAATAATTGAACCACCGAAGTTCGTCGTTTAAATTTAAACCTAAACTCAAGTGCTGACACCTCATCTTCAATATCCACTGATATAGTTGGTCTCAGAATCCAAAACTAATTGCTTATCGAGTGTTTGATTCCCCAATGAAACTATGTTTAACAACTATATTTATCTTGACAACTTTGTGTATGATTCGTAAAATTCTGCCTTTATTTTTCTAAAAATATCCAACGATTACATTCACGTCTTTGTTATATAATTTCAGTACTTCAGTTCTCTTATGTTAACTACTTTCAAATATTTGTCAAATTAAACCAAATTTTTTATTCATATTGCTATGGTGAGTTTGTGGCGTCCTTGCATAATGCTTCGTGGAAACATGAGTTAACAATCTTCGTGAAGTGATAAAGGGATGGGCACAATTAAAGTGTTATGGGCAAGGCACAACACAATACAACACAAGACATGCTTCTGTTTAACTATACCAAGCTTTGCTTCAGTCACATCACATCAAGGTCAAGCTCTTTTGCAATGCCTTTTTAAGGAAGAAATGATCAATTAAACAAGTTCGTTTACGAGCTAAACTTCATTTGTATGGTCTGTGAACAAAATTATCCGAACGATTTTAAACACAAGAAGTTTTGCCATGATCTTCTTTTTACGAGGAATATGTGAATGTTTGACTTTTTCCTGTTGCTATTTGTTGATGAATAGAATAAGATAACTCATGATGAATGTCAACTTGTTATGTGCTCGATTTCATTGGTAAGTATTTTATTTGTAGGTTTGGGCTGGTGCTTTTTTCTGACCTAAAAGTAGCAAAATGAACATTGAAATTAACGATATGTGATTACATTAGAAAGATGGCGTCAAACTCAAGGAATTTGATTATGACTTTATTTTTCTTCTTTCACAAACTTTAGTAAAACTCGAAGACAATGTCCTGTTGACACTTTATCCTCAATGTCTTCAAATCTCAAGCCATGATTAACGAATGCAAACATCTTAGCTTGTTAAAATGCTCACTGTAGTTCCACGGGTTCAATGATTTATTTTAGTAACATGTTAGAACCATACTTTAGTTTTGGATAAAATATATTTTAGTATCTTCTAAGTATGTTTTAATATAATATTAATTTCATGTACTTGGAGCAAATTAATAGCATCATAACTTTGGAAATGGTAAATGTTAAAATGTCTAAATTAAATTATGCTGAATATTATTTATTCTTACAAATATTTATATAGAAGTCAATGTTGCAAAGTCATTAAATTGTTGACGCGTGAAGGCGTGAAGAGGCTCGGAGTAGGTTGACAAGTTGGCTCATTCAAATCATGTTATTACTTTGTACCACTTCAAGAAGGGAAACAAAAAATAAATAAAAATAAAAGTGAGTTAAATTATATATATATATATATATATATATATATATATATATATTATTTTTTTTAATACGTATTTTTTTTATTTTTTACAATTTACGTTTATATGTTATAAAAAATATGATTTTAATCTCATTATCGAATTTACATATGCTTTTTTATATATATTTTTGGTTTATTTCAGACTTAAATATTTATTAAAAGTACTATTAAAAATCATTTATGTAAATAAAAAAGATAGATATATCTAAAATTGACAAATGAATCAAAATTAGAGAAAAAATTAAAAACTAAAATTGTTATCAAACCAAAAATAATAATTTGAAATTTAATATTGAAAAAACAAGGTGCCCAGGGGAAGGAACAAACGAAGCCACTGTCTATGACATACAGAATGTAATAATTTCCGACGCAATTTTGAAAAACCTGTGTCTGTCTGTCTCTGTCCCCTTTCTTTGTTCTTTGTAATATACAAACACCGTTGCCGTTGGTGTTTCGATTGAAATCAGATCAACAGTGTGCGTTGGGGTTGGAAATTCGATCAGAAGGGTTTCTGAATGGAAGCTATCAGAAAGCAAGCCTCCAAGCTTCGAGAACAGGTCGCTCGCCAGCAACAGGTTCCTTCTCTCTTTCTGTCGCTCTCTCAATAAAACCTATTTCATTTGCCAGATCTTTCTCCGATCAACGCAAATACATCCCTTCCAATAGATCAACATAAATGCACGCCTCTTAAATTCGATTAGGATTATAAATTTATTCGCGTCAATAATTCTGACTTCTAACCAACCGAGTCGTACACTTGCATTGCTGAAATGGTTAAGAAATGTTGTAATGTTTGATTCCTCAAATTTTTAGAATAATTAGTTGAATTTTAAACTGGTCCGTCGCCGCTTTGGGAAACTTTGCATAGATAAGAACTTAATATAGCAGTTGCTTCAGATATATGAAGTTTTTACTTCCTAGATGCGTATGCCTACCTATACGTGATATAAGTTAGAACTTTTAGATTTTATTTTGTGTGAGATGTCTTAAAGGGAAGGTGGCTCGAATATTTGGTTAGTTACTTGGAATTGCAATGCTTTCTTGACTGGAAACGAGCTTGATAATCAAGTACATTGTCTAAGGTAAAATGTGTTTTTAATCCCTAAAAATATGGCTTAATTTGGATTTAATAGTCTTAAAAGTTTTTATTGTTGTTAGTTTTTATCGTTTATCACCACTAGTGATGATGTGACAAGCATCTAACCATGTCATTTATGTATCATCGCAGAATGGTTATTTACTAATATGATGATATCGCTTGATGTCTATTGCATTGCTACTAAGTGGTGACAGGAACCTTTTTTTTTTTTTTTTTAAATCTAACCAAGGTCAACAAAAGAATTTTGAAGGGCCAAAACTAAATGAAGTCACATTTGTTACTCTGCGATCTTGTATTTCATGCCATGAATATCAGAATATGATTACAAGCATTGCATTCAATACAGTACCATTACAATGCATACACGCATGACAATTTGTAAAATAAAAATCTAAATGCAAGCATGGTTGGGTATTAATTATAGAATATTTGAAAATGCATATTTATATTTGAGGAAGCACAAACACTTCTAAATAATTCTCGACTAGTCATGTCATTTGTAGCTGTATCAAATCATACAGTTATTCGTGTCGAACACTGCATCAAGGCTTAAAATACTACTAGTAGTATAATTATACGCATGTAATGTAATAAAACCAGTATCATATTTTAATCTTATATGCTCATTGCAAAAGGTCAAAAGGTAAAAACATTTCCTTTCGTTTAAAGGCCAATATTTTATTGTCTTAGCATCTGATTGGATACATTTCTGAGCAAAAATCCAGAAAATATAAGATAATCTTGGGTGCACTTGACTCCCTCTATCCCAAATAGGAAAGTTAAAGAAAGTAAACTTTTGAAATAAAGAAAAATAGTTTACACCCAATACTGTTTTACAATATCAGTAATCTGTCCATGTGAGACATTGGAACACTTAATTAAAGAGATATCGTTCAATTGACTGTAGTCTGCGATACGATGATTGCCTCTTTTGTTTTCATATTTTCTTGAAAGGGGTGAGTGTATATATCAGAAAACCACTGATTTTTTTGCTTTTGAGGGTACCGTATCCTCACTCATGGTTCTTCTTATTCTGTCCTCTCTATCATGAAATTTCTTATGTTATTTTTTTTGTAAGACTCAATTCATCTCATGCTCCTTTTTTTTTTCTGCTCGCTAATATTCCTTAGTGTTGCTTTCTTACTCTACTGAGGTTTTAATCACAATTAATGCTATTTAGGCTGTGCTTAAACAATTTGGGGCTGGGGGATATGGAGGTTCAGATAATATGGTTACTGATGAAGTAGAGCTTCAACAACATCAGAAACTTGAGAAGCTTTACATATCAACACGTGCTGGAAAGGTTAATTGGTTTTCCTATACCAATCCTCTATTTTTGTTCATTTCCTGATCTCTACTTATACCCTTCCTCCTGGGCTGATGTGAAATATATTGTTTTTCAGCATTATCAAAGGGATATTGTCCGTGGTGTGGAAGGTTATATTGTAACTGGATCCAAGCAAGTTGAAATAGGTCTGTAATTTTGGTCGGTGAATTTTATTTGCAGTTTGTTTTTGCAACAGAGTTTATGATATATCCTTGACAAAATATAATAGAAGAAAAAGCAGGGTGGGATGGAAATTGTGTTTATAATGAGAGAAATAGGAGTGCTGCTAGAAGGAATGAGAGAACAATGATAAGAGAGAATAACATAGTGTACACTAGACAGCAAGCTATTGAAGAAGAGAACTGTGCAATAATGGGAGAGGAATGGAAATGTGAACAAGCAGGCATTGGGAATAGTGAATGTCTGAACAAATTTTGGGAGTGAGTTGGTAGCTTAGGCCAGGTTGGGCATAATCTGTGTATCAGCTATGATTGTTATCTTCTATGTCTGCATTTCTTTTCTGTAACGCGTTTTCATTTGTTGAGCTTTTTTTTTCCCTGTGATGGAGATTTTCTCCCTGAGTTTGATTGTAATTCAATTTTAAAACCAGCTCCTATGAGTATTGTTATTGAATAATACTTGTTATTTAACAGGAACTAAGTTATCAGAAGATAGCCGAAAATATGGTGCAGATAATACATGTACCAGTGGTAGTACATTATCTAGAGCTGCACTAAACTATGCACGGGCCCGTGCGCAAATGGAGAAGGAGCGTGGGAGCTTATTGAAAGCACTTGGAACACAGGTAAACACGCCCTAGCACATGAACACACATACATCACAGGATTCTAAAGTTAAAAGTTTTCATACCAGTACTAGTGATTTTGTGCCAAAGTAATATGGGCCAAAGCATCTTAAAATACAAACATGGTTATATATTATCACTGCTTGGATGGATACTACATATTTCCTGTTTTGCCGCCTTTTACAATCCAAGGTCCACTGTCCCTGGCGAATTAAGCAGTTCCTGAATCCTCTAAGTAGTTTATTCACTTGAAATTTAAGTATTAATACTTATCTACTGTATACATTTCTACCATTTTCCTTTTGACATATTGAATTTTATAGCTTCTGTCATATTATATATATATATTGTACACCATTATTCTACCTGATAAAGAAAACGAGGAATCATAAGGATTTATAACATTAACCAATTTCTTTGGTTTATGCATGAGTCCATCGTACAGCCATTGATAATTGCATGATTGAAGGTTTCAAATCTGGCTTCATGCATGTAAATGTAATTCTTGGATTTACCCCTAACTGAACTCTTTTAACTAAAAAGATACAGAATTGTAGATATTTAAATGAGAGGAGAGCCTTGTTACATTAAAAAGATTGCGGCTTTGTGACATAGGCCATTGGGTCAAATACAAGGAAGCCCCATGTCCAATTGCAAGGATAAACTCTGTACATATATACCCTTCCTTGACAGATGCCAACAGTTGGGAGCCTCATACATTTCTATAGATGTTTAGATCTGGCTTCATTGATTTAATGCTTGGATTCCATGCTACTGAAATAGTTTATCGATCCTGAATGGCATACACGGATATTAAAATCTATTTAATCTAGGCTAGGTCTAGTCCTACCTTTAATTGAATTGAAGTTAACATCCATATACATTCACCAAGTTAGTCTCACTTGCTTATTTGACCTAATGTCTCGGAGACTGAAAGTTTTCAGTTTTGCTTGATGCTTAGGTTGCGGAGCCATTAAGAGCAATGGTGATGGGAGCACCATTGGAGGATGCCCGGCATCTTGCACAACGATATGACAGAATGCGGCAGGAAGCCGAAGCTCAGGTATCTGGTAATTTATGTTTCATGTTGTTGTACTTGGTTTATTTTTCACCAGCTTAATTTTTGGTAAATTTCCAAGTAATATTTCATCAATATTTTTTTCTCCGTGTTCTTCGTAATTACATTGTCTTTTAAACCTAAACAGGCTATTGAAGTTTCCAAACGCCAGGCAAAAGTAAGAGAAACACCTGGCAATACTGAGAATGCTATGAAGCTGGAAGCAGCTGAAACAAAGCTGCAAGACCTTAAGACAAACATGGCCATATTGGGAAAAGAAGCAGCTGCTGCTATGGCTGCTGTTGAAGCACAGCAACAGAGGTTAACCCTCCAGCGTCTTATAGCTATGGTATTGCAGTTTTACCATATGGTCCTGAAATTCTTCTGTTTTAAAATCTTTGATCCGAGTTATCAGAAATTATTCTCTTCACCTGAATCCGATGTTCTATTTCTAATATGAAGGTTGAAGCAGAGCGTGCCTATCATCAAAGAGTACTCCAAATACTTGATCAGCTCGAGGGAGATGTAAGCCATTGTATCCCTTCATTTTTTCATCATATTCTCCATATAAAAGTCAAATATGCCATCAGAATGTTACATTACATCATTTTCTTTTGTTATCAACATATGATTATATGGCATATTTATATTTTAATTATAGATGATATCAGAGCGACAACGAATTGAAGCTCCTCCTACACCTAGTGTGGAAAACAGCATGCCACCACCTCCAGCATACGAAGAAGTAAATGGTGTATATGCTTCGCAAGCACATAATGGCTCAACGGATAGTATGGGTTACTTCTTAGGAGAGGTTAGATTATTTCTTGTACAAAATTTATATATTCTACTAAAAAATAACTGACTGCCTACTTTATTTTCTGCTGAATATTTACTCATGCAGGTTTTATTTCCCTACCATGCTGAGTCAGAAGTGGAACTGAATCTATCAGTTGGGGATTATATTGTTGTTCGAAAGGTTTGTGACTTATCAAGTCTATCATTGCATCTTTTTGTAAACCAAAGCATGTCTTTTATTTCATTGTTTGAAGGAAGCTTTTTTTTTTTTCTGAGTAGGGTGATTTATATATTTGGATTTTTTTGGTATTTACAAACCAGTAAAACCAAATTTTAAAAAGTTGACGCATGAAAAAGATAGTAAAATACAAGTATAACAAGATGTAATAATCAATTTAAGCTCTAGACAGAATAGGCAATCTAATATGATGTAGGAAAACGGTTGATTAAGTTGTCATTTATCAATGATTCAACACTATATGATTGTTTGGTCAATTTGCTTGTACCTTGTGTCATGACATACTTGTCTTGGCTATAAAGGAATTGTGGTCCTGCAAGGGCCTGTATAACTTATTTATCATATTCGTGTGTTATATTTAAAACAAACTTTGGGTTGTGGCGGGGACAGATTACCCTAAAATTCTTGCATATCTAAAGTTGTTCCTAATATGACTCTGATTGACAGGTGACGAACAATGGATGGGCTGAGGGTGAGTGCAAAGGGAAAGCAGGTTGGTTTCCATTTGGTTACATTGAAAGAAGGGAGCGAGTCCTTGCAAGCAAGGTGGCTGAAGTTTTTTGATTTTTTTTCTGCTGAGCAGGGTTGAGTTGGTGGTTTCTTTCATCAAGGGTTTTGTATGTGCGTATGTTTCGGTTTGTCCTTCATGGATAACGTGTGCTTAGCATACACCAATCGATTTGTGATATGTAGATGACAACTTCTTTTTCTTGTGATTAGTATTAAAATCATTTCTAGCTATGCTTTACTTCAAGTTTTAAAATATTTATACTCTTACCCGTGTTTTAGTAGCCAAATTCATACTTGAATGAACATAGTCGTATACAATTGGTACTTGTATATTTCAATTTGGGTTTTGCTCAAATTTTTCATTTTTTAATTAGATTAAATAGAATGTTTTTCATTTAATGAGTTGTTTTTCAGGTGTTGTTATATTAGTTGAGCTAAGCAAGAAGGAAATTTGATAATATTCCCTGCTATCATTTTCAGTCAATAGACAATTAACAAGTATCAAACCATTTCGTCAATTTGTAAGGTGCGGTACCGATAATTAGATAAGGTCATATATAATTAAAAATTAAACACAACTAAATTTGTGTAAAATTTTCAGAAATTAAAATTACAAGAATTTAAAATGTGAGGAACTAAACTAATAGGCACTAAAATTGTAGAATTAATAAAATATAAAACGAAAACTACAAATAAGTAAAAATTCTATATTCTATTGAATATTTTACATTCAAATACACTCACTCAATTAGATTTTTTTTTAATCATTCGTTAACGACGGTTTAAATAAACTATTTAGGATAACAAATATTAGAAATACAAAAAAGTAGGAAAATTAAATCTAAGTTATATTTTTTTGTGAAATTATAACATTAATTTAAATAATTTAACTATTATCATTACAGGGATTATCTTATCTTTGCCATTACAATGTATAGAAATTAAACTCACAATTTTGTATAATACAGGACAAATGGGTGCCCAGGACATGGCTTTTTTTTTATTATTTATAAGAAAGATAACACATTTTAGTGGTAGAAAGACAAGATATGGTAGGTGAACTACTAAAGTTGTGGCAACCATGGTACAGTATGCCTTCACAAAATTTTTTTTTTGCCAACAACTTTCCTCAGATCATGGACTGCGACTTAAGGATCATAAATGTTAGGAAAGTCACTGAGAGGAGCTCAACATTTCATTTTTTTATATTTTTTTACAAAAATTAAAATTTAAAATTTAAAAGTTATTCACTTATTTTTATTTCATTGCATTTTGGGGTGCATGCTGGATCTGGCCCAATAATGGGGTCATGAAATAGCAAGCTCATTGGCCTTTTGATTGTTTATTATAGTAACTACCACGTTTTGTTTTCTGCAACCTACTGATTTAGTTAATAGTTTAAAAGAAATAAAACTACAGGGATTGAATCATTCATAGGCAACTTTTGTTTTAAATATAAAAGAATAAGCAGAGAACCTCGTTCTATAACGTTGATTCTGTAATTTTTTATATAATGTTATTGATACAAGGTATTTACCAACTTTGATAACAAGAAATTTCTGTCGAAAAGATAGTAATTTTTAATAGGATCTCTTTCTCTCACCATGTTTTTTTAGTCAGACAAAAAAATGTTAGAATTTCAACCCAGTTTTGTTGTAACATTGATGATATTAATTGAGCTTGTACATTTTATACTCAGGTACAAAATCTGATCTGAGTTATGAACAAAGCATGGAGGTTTTGCCTTAAGAAGTTACTTCATTTGGGGTGAAATAGCATATTCCATATTGCAAAGAAAATGGACCCTGATGAGGCAATGTCTGCTGCAAGCAAAGTATTGTGCAATGTGGTGAAGCATTGCCTTCTAATTCCAACCCAAAAAGATGAAAATTTGGAACCCACAAGACAAAAGTGCCCCAGTTGCACGTGAGCCACTAGCATGGTTGAATGTAGAGGTGACACCTTCTTGCTAACTTCTCAACACACTCACAAGCATCACCAGTGAAATGGACCACCTTTTTTATAAACCACTGCATCCTGCTCCTGCATGTGCCTAAAGCTACTATCCCCCACTAGCTCCAATCTATATCAAATCAATTCAATTCTCTTCCTTTTTACTCTTTGCTTCTACTCTTTCACATACACGCAACATCAACAAAAGAAAAAAACAATCTTCCTACACCAAATTGGTAACCAAATCCTACTGCATCAATTTGTTGTCTCTGTGTTTTTCTTTTATTTTTGTTATTAATGCATCCATAGTTGTTGGTTGGTTGAAACACACACATCTTTCAACCTCGATTTCCTCTAGGATGACCCCACAATTAGATCTTAAGCCTTTTCTCTCACTTTTAAGTTTACAAATCACCATCATTCAAGAAATTGATGGGTTTGGATTAGGATAGATAGTCTTTTAAATTGGAAGCAAAAGCTAATAATTTCTCAGTACTTGTAATCCCCATCATCCTCCCTTTTTCCTTTTCTTCTCTTTCTTTTTAATTTCCTCCATGTGATCTTCATCTCACCCCTTCTTCTCAATTCAATCACAAATAAATGCCTAACATTTTTAAGATTAGACATGACAAATAAACCCTCTGTCTTTAAAAGATACTCAATTTTGAAAAACACTTAAAAGCTTACCTAATTAGGATTTAGAGGAAAAATACGACAGGGTTAACATAATTAAGGTTAGGGATGTAAATTAGGTCAATTTAACTACTATTTTTTGAGGCTAAAATGCATGTTTTCAATTTTTGCTGTTTAATCAATAAAATATTATTGATGACTCTGTTGAATGTGGAAGGGCTTGCTTGGACAGTGAGAGAGAAATCAATTTATGAAAATGCTTTATATTGATTTAGGTATGTTTCTTTAAAATTATCAATTAATTAATCTTAATTAACGTAAAAGCTAATTCAAATCTATCATCATCGTGTAACGTAGCTAATAAGGAATACCATACAAAATTTAGTGATTGGATTTTATAAGTTTGGTTTGTATTTTCAACACACTTAATTACTGAGAGTAATAAAATATTTACGAGTATGTAAAAGCAAAAACTATACATTTACGACATTGTATAATATATGCCAGTATTTTCTTCAAATTGGAATAATATTTATGTGCTTTTATTATGTGATATATATTTTGCATTTCATAGCACACGTGTCTTCTATTTGCTTATGTAAAAGAATGAGTATTTATTACTAAATAATCTATCATTTGGTGTTTTTTATTTAGATGATCTTAATTTGAAGTACATCTGTTTTTCTTTTGGTGGATGTTTATCAAATTCTAAAGTGTTAATAGACATTTCTCAAATCAAATAAATGTTCACTAATTAATAATCATTTTTTTATTTATCAACTAATTGCTCGTATTTTTTTTTCACTTTTATCGGTAGAACTCAAATGTATTTAATAAAGGCAGATGTTATTAGATATTTATGTATAATTACTATAAATACTCTACTAATTAAATTAATTTTAATATTCCCTGGCTCAATAGATTTAGATCTATTTTTCAATCCTAATCTATGTTTTAAGTTTTCATAGTTATATTACAATTCAAAGTAATAATGATCAAAATAATATACCATTCATTATAAACGTGGAATCTTTAATAACAATGAACTTACTAAATTAAATGCCTATTACATTAAAGACTTCATTTTAAATTGTGTGAAAACATTTTTGTCACCAATTCATAATATAAAAAACACACTAAAATACATAAAAAAATATAAATATGAAAAAGACAAATAATTTATTTTGACTTAAAATTTACGCATAACAACCAAAAAAGTTGAATAATTTCAATTTTTTTTATTAAAACTTTGACTTTTTCAATAGATTTATTGAATCATAAGGTTTTACATTAAGACAAGGTTTATTTAAATGTTTTTCTCGATAAACACTTATATAAGAAAGAAAAAGAATAAGAAAATATTTGTATAAGTTAAGATTAGTTTATATATAAGTTAAAATAAATTAATTTTATTTATTTAAGTTTATAGAAAAGTTATACTAATGATTTAAGTTTTTTTTTTTTAAATGCAGACAGCCAAATGCTATCATGTATTATCGATCAGAAATTTTTAATAATTTTTTTAAAAATAAAATTAAATATTTTATCATGAATTATGCATTTAAATGGTTTAAAGTTTAGTTAAAATTATTTATATATATTTTTTTATATTTAATTTTTTTTTTCGCTTTTAAACTAATGTGGGACCCTTGCTAGCAACTAAATAAACATTTTAGTTTTAAAAAGCGTAGGAATTAAGTTTGGAAAATAGAACAAACGGGATTTGAAATGCTTTGATAAATGACAAAATCGCTTTATTTCAAACAGGCTCCCTTTGTGCTATTCCCAAACACACGTTTCTATCATTACAATGACGTTAAATAAATGTCATGTATCATCTTCCTCGTCCTATATAATTTTTTTTGGTTGGATTGAAATTTAAATAATTTTGCTACAAAATTTAAATAAGAGCAATGAATTGTAATATTTGTTTATCAAACTGAATATTTTGTTGTAAATTATTCAGTTTTTTTTAATGCTAATAAGGTTTTATATAATTAATTTTTGGAGGTATCAACTCGTGCAATTTGTTTTTCTTAAATTTGACATAAATTTATTTTAAAATTATTATTCAAATTGTAAATTTACATATTTTTATCTTAAAATACAATAAGCTAAATTATACTATAAAATATTAATATAAATAGAATTAATCTTTCTGAAATATTAATTTAAATAAATTATATTATAATATATCAATTTAAACAATATTATTGTTTAAAAATAATATTAATTTCATAAATATAAATCTATATATTCAAATTCTAAACTATTGTTTAATTGTTAATTATATTCTTATGAATAAATTTATTTTAACATTTTAATTAAAATAATTAAATAATAATTATTTATTGATGAGCATATAATTTTATATTATGATATTTATACCGTTTTATTAATATGCAGGTATTAATTATTCATATATATATATATATATATATATATATATATATATATATATATATATATATATATATATATATATATATATATATATATATATATATTGGCATAGCTAGTGATGACTTTCATTCATTCGTCCATCTTTTTCTTTGGTTCGTGGTGATATCGCCGCTGGTAACAGTGAATTTGCTAGCAAGACTGTTTCATTGTGTTTAAAAGTTTAACGTTTACAAAAAATGTTATATATTTGAAATTTTTGTTGTGTGAGGGACTAGTTATTAGGTTAAGAGGTTTTGTGAAAAAAGGAATGTAAATATAATTTTAAAATATTGAAAAATGTTTATATTTATTATTTGAATTATTATAGTCGTTAACTTCAAGAGACATAGTGGTTGCCATCGTGATGTCACGATAATACAATTTTGTTCCCACTTTTAATTAAATTTGGACAATGTGGTGGGAACGCTCTCTCTCTCTCTCTCTTTCATTTGCTTTTGAATATTTTGCCGTTTTGCTTGCTAACACAACAAACGTTAAATCAGTGACCAAAAACCCAACGGAACTTCTCTCTGAACTTCCACCGTCAATTCATTCTGACCAGCACGCAAATTACAAAATGACCTAATAACTCCAACACATTTCGTCCAAAAGCTTCATTTTGTAAAAAATGAATTCAAACGGTATCAAATTACCCCAGTGAACAGAGAATGTAGAAACGAAAATTCAAAATCTTGACCTTGAATACATTTATCATTTGTTTAACGTTAACAAGTTCTGTTTTTTTCAAAAGATTGATTTGAAAAATCAAAACATTTACTCGTAATAGATTGATTAATTGATTAATCTTAATTTAGTAGATTCACTTGTTGCATTTATTTTGGCTGAATTAATTGGTTGTCACATATTATTTATTCATTTTAAAAAGAATTAAAGCAGTCAAAAAGTGTGAAAATACTTATCATAAAATAAAACTACAAAATTGTCTTATTATTGACGATGGAATGAGATGAAATTATTGGTGATAGGCGGCCGCAGTTATTCCCGCTCAACTTCACGTCCTATTTTTGAAAGGCATTTGGTGACCACTCGATTTCATCGTGCGCGGCGCGGGTCCTTCCAAACACTTTTCAATTTAAACCCTTTAATTTCACCCACTACATTATTGTCCCTTGTAAAATTAAATTAAATCCAATATTCCATTACAAGACATTTTTTTATTTCTTAATAAAAAAAACATTTAAAATTTAAACTCTTCCCATTCAAAACTAAAAATAAAATAAAAGGGAAATTAAATTTGAGCTGTGAGTCTGTGACCATGACCTTCTTCTCCGTTTTTTCTGCCCCCATCCATCTTCACTCACGGCTAGAGCTAGTTCCTCTGTAGTATAGAAGACGAAACTATCTTGTCTCTGTGCGCGTGCGTGCGTGCGTGCGTGTGTTTTCTCCTCTCTTTGTTCCATACAATAATATCCAAAACCATCAAAAGGAAGCAACGAAGAAATGAAAATGGAAAGCCAAGAGAACCAAATTTTGCTTCCTTTTCTTTCCGTAGCCATGTGAGAGTTCTGACACATTCTCTTCCCCTCGCTCCTTCTCCCACGCTGCGTAGTTAGTTTCTACCGACTCACCAACTCGGTGAGCGAGTGAACGCAATGGCTTCTTCCTCCCGCGGAAGGAGTAGCTCGCCGTTTTCTTACCGTAAACCTTCCACTCCTTACTCATCCACTTCTTCCTCCTCTTCCTTCACTAACGGTAGGTTAATGCCTCGCTCTTGCTCTTCCTCTACGTCGTCGTTTTTCAACTCCGGTGGCCGATCCATGACTCCGAGTCGCGGTCGCACCGAGTCAACGTACAACGGCTCGCGCGGTTACGCCGGCCGTTCTCCGGTGGCGTTAGGGGCGGAGGAATTGATCGCGGACCCGCTGGATTCATCGAGGTCCGGCGATAGCATTTCGGTCACGATTCGGTTTAGGCCGTTGAGGTAATACTTAGATCTGAGGTTGTGCTTTCAGATCCATTCGCTGCGCGATTGAATCGTTTGATTTTGCGGTTTGCGTTATCTGAGATTGAATGTCACTCACTTAATGGTTCGGTTGCAGTGAAAGGGAGTATCAGAGAGGGGATGAGATCGCGTGGTATGCGGATGGCGACAAGATTGTCAGAAACGAGTATAATCCAGCTACTGCCTATGCATTTGGTATCGTTTATTGCCTTCCTCGTGTGATGTTCTTGCTATTCGTGTTGATTGATTTTTTATCAGTCAATGAGGCTTCTGCTAGAAAATTGACTTTGATTTTGCTGTCAGCGGAGAAACTGCGGATGCTTAATTTAGAATTCTAATTTAATTTGTGGCAGATAGAGTTTTTGGTCCACATACCAATTCAGAAGAAGTCTATGAAGTAGCGGCAAAACCTGTGGTGAAAGCTGCCATGGAGGGCATCAATGGTAAGGAGTGTTAATTTTGAATTCAGTACGAAATGACAATGTGATGCGAGCTGAGTCTGATTTTGGCATCATCAAGTCATTTTAATAGATTGACGAAAATTGTTATGGTTATTTATTGGTCTAGTGTCTGCTTGAATAACTAGGTGGAACTGGTTAATTGTATTCTGGTATAGTGTTAAGAGTAAAATTTGGATTCTGTTAAATTTGGAGATTATCTTCTTCTTTATTGTTAATTAATTATTTTGGTTGATGAAAGATGACTTTTATCTAAATATGGCAGGTACTGTGTTTGCCTACGGTGTGACAAGTAGTGGTAAGACGCATACTATGCATGTAAGTGTTATTCTTTAAAATACTGATTCGATTTTCCTTTTTGTTTTCATTTATGTTTTGTGCTGAAAATCCATGTTTTATGTATCGCCTTTCATCAACCACCATGTTGCAAATTTGCAACTTGCGTGTCACCCATTTTTTACTGATTTTCTTCTTCTTAGAGTTGGTTATTGTCAAACAAGGTCCGTGTTAACAACTTAGTGATTTTGCGCTAGTTTATATTTTTAACACAGCAGCACATATGCCATATGATATCTACTACTTGTAAACATTAACTTTGAATACTTTTTTTGTGAAAAATATAGACGATAATATTATCCCAGCTGTTCTTAGATGTTTCGGTAGCTAGCCAAGGATAACTTCTGAGAAGATTATTTTCTGGTTGATGTTTAAAGGTTTTTGATCCACTTATCGACATAGTTTCTCTGGACATTGGACAGGATAAATAGTTACCTAGTTTTATGTAAAGCAGAATCTAGTAAACTACCAATAAGCACTTATATTACTGATGTAGGAGTAGGACAATCAATTACACATGAAACAACTTTTAGGGTTTGGATCATTTCCATGGAAATTGAAAAAATGTCATATTGGTAGTTCTGACATTGTGTAACTAAAATTATGATTCAGTGCAAGTTAAAAAGGTATTGCACCCACATATATAAAGATTATTATAAGAACTGAAGAAAGTATAGATTTTTGTGTTGTAATGTGAATTAGCTATGAAAATCACAAATATATTATGCAGTCCTTGAAACTTTTTATTTTTATCCATTAAATGTAGTTTTGATAGTTAATTATTGCTACCCATTTAACATTGCCTTACATTGGAACTGTCAATTTCACTACACTTGTTGAATTGTAGAAAGTATAATATTATCAAGTAACTTGCTCTCTAAGAAAGTTTGTTACCATAATCTACGATGTCCTTTTTGCAAAATTAAAAATGATAAAAAATCTTCTTCGGTGACTCATACTGCTCCTTATATGCATTTTATATAAGGCTTAAAAAGGATGGTAACATGCTATGCTTACTTATTGTAAGTTACAGCCATTTGTATAATGCTCCTATTGGCAGGTACACTGTAGAAGTTTTAAATTTGGATGTAGCTTGCATTGTCTTGCCAATGCTTGATTAACTTGTAGTTCTTGCCACATTTTACTCTGTCATGTTTCTTGCTTCTGTTTCAAAATATTTTATGTCTTTGAACTGCATTTTCTGTATAGACATCTTCTCTCCAGTTATGTCTCTAAAATGTAATTTTGTTTTCAATAATAATGTGCAGGGAGACCAAAATTCCCCTGGTATCATACCACTGGCTATAAAGGATGTTTTCAGTATGATCCAAGATGTAAGATTATTTTGCCAGTTCAGTAGTTGAAGATTATTTAAATTACATAATCAGCATTACGCCATTTTTGTTCAGTATAGTTTTATGCTTTGACGTCATGTGTGGTTGCTGTATCTTTTTTTCATAGTTGCTGTGTGTGTATCATGTATGCCACTCTGTTGCTTTGTCCTCTACATGGTCATCTTTGTTCTCCTTTTAGTTACTTTCAGAGGAATACACGCAAGGATACGCGAGCTCTATGTTCTAATTCATAATAGTTAATGGTTACTACTTCATCTTGACTTCACTTGATTACCGAAGTATTCCATTGTAATTGTTGGAATAGATTAGAAAATATATGTAATCATTATACCTAAGGTAGGAGGTTGAGTGTTAGATAATCTCTGCAGGGGGTTGAGTGTTAGATAATCTCTGCACCTAGTTCTGAGCAGTAATATAGGACTGTGCATTTAATGTAATCTCCTTATTGTATCAGTTTTTATCCATATAAATAGAGAACTATGAGAGGAGTTCTTCAAGCCCTCTAAAAACATTTTTTCTCTATTTTTGAATATCAAGTGTAATTTTATTTTACATCTTACTTGGTGTGTCTAATTGTATTTTTCCTGCAGACCCCAGGAAGAGAATTCTTACTTCGAGTATCATATCTAGAAATATACAATGAGGTAAATGACAAAACAGCCCTTGTTCCATCATTTTTGTGCTGAAAACAGTTTAGTAAGTTGTGCTTGTACAGTAACATTTTTTTGTCTTGCCTTAAAATTTTTCATCCTGAATATACCAGTATGTGGCATTGATTTTCATCTTCTAGCTTGTTTTATTGTCTGTGTGTGTGTTAATGTTTAAAGATATTTTGGTGGTTTCTTGGTATCAGGTGATAAATGATTTACTTGATCCAACTGGCCAAAATTTGCGAGTTAGGGAAGATGCACAGGTTTTTTCATCTTACTATTTCTTCTCTAGTGAAATCATGTGTTATATAGTTTTCATCAATGACAGGATTTGTAATTCAAAGAAAATTTAGGAAATTATTTTTAGTTTTGAACTTGATATGAAATTTTTTCTCTCTAGTCTATTTGGGTGTGTACTTGATTTTTTATGCTGGCTTTTTTTCCAGGGAACTTATGTTGAGGGTATAAAGGAGGAAGTTGTTCTATCTCCTGGACATGCACTTTCTTTTATTGCTGCTGGAGAAGGTACTTATGTTGAGAGTGATAGTGGCACGAGTCTGCCCATTCGTCTCCAGAATTGTATATTATATATTACCAAAATCTTGACTAATGATTGGTTGAGAAACATTCTTTAACAAGTTTCTTTTTTGTTTTCTCTTTAACATGGCAGAGCATCGTCATGTTGGATCAAACAATTTTAATCTCTTTAGCAGCCGCAGTCACACAATATTTACACTGGTAAGCATGCTTGATACGGTAGTTGGTGCGATTGTTTAAAGAAATAATACCTTAATCATGCCTGAGGCTTTGTAGTTTAAAAAATGCTGACTTGCATGCATGCATATGCTTGTGTGGATTGCTGTCCTTGCGTTTTCTGCATATGTTAAAAGCTGATTGATGATTGTTTACAAAAATGTTTAATGATTACACATAATGTATTTTTTTTTTTTAACAACTAAATTCTATTGTTATTGTTATCCAATACATTTACAGATGATAGAGAGCAGTGCTCATGGTGATGATTATGATGGAGTCATCTTCTCTCAGCTAGTACGTAAAAATTATGTGGCTTCTAAAAAATTTTTTATGTTCATACCTATTGGACATTTATGTTCAACTTCTTTTTTGCACTTTTTCTTCTTTCAGAACTTGATTGATTTGGCTGGATCTGAGAGCTCAAAAACTGAAACAACTGGACTAAGAAGAAAGGAAGGATCTTACATCAACAAAAGTCTTCTGACACTTGGAACTGTAGGTGTTAAAAAATTCGTTTTTGTCAATGTAGAAGTTATGCAATTTTTTTGTACTTCAAATCACTATTTATAATTTCTATATTTTTGCAAGGGAAAAGTTATGACAATTTGTTTGTAATTGAGCTGACTAGTTGTATGACTTGCAATATCTTTGTTAAAAGATACACTCATAACTGCTTGAAATGAATTCATTTTGAATTTTCTTCGGTAAGGAAGCAATCATAAATAATTTTATTAGCATATCTAATTCTGTTATGTGTTGATAAAAAAAAGTATCTGTTACACTGGACCTATAAGTGTCAAAGAACAGTCCTCAATAGCAGGTAGACTAGCAGTGTAGAGGTTTCTCTTTTTTGTTTTAGTCGAAATAGATGAAATCGCATACCTTTATTTTTTAGTTTTTAATGTTTTTGAAGGTGGAGGGGCATTCTATGTTTATTCTTGATTTTTGTGATTTCATTGTGAAGGTTATTGGAAAGTTGAGCGAGGGGAAGGCATCTCATGTTCCTTATCGAGATTCAAAGCTAACCCGCCTCTTGCAATCATCTCTTAGTGGACATGGCCATGTTTCGGTGAGTTTTGGTTCTACATCATTTCCAATTATTATATGGTTTAGTTATATTTTTCTATCTTTCGTTCTTTATGATTGCTGAGTTATTATTCTATTTGAATGTGACTCGTCAGTAAGGTATGGGTATTCTATTTTTTTTCTTTCACTTTGTCCCTGCAATGTTAAATTGTCTGCGCATAGGCACTGCATAAAAATCTGTTCCAATGTGAAAATTTCAGCTTATATGCACAGTAACTCCAGCATCCAGCAATATGGAGGAAACTCATAATACCTTGAAGTTTGCCAGCAGGGCAAAACGAGTAGAAATATATGCATCACGTAATAAGGTTGGCCGAAGCTAGTGATTATCTATAGACTTGCATGTGCCTTTAAGCATGAAAGGTTGTTTATTCATTTTGTAATTATTTGTTAACAGATTATTGATGAGAAATCTCTAATTAAGAAATACCAGAGAGAAATTTCAGTCTTGAAACTAGAACTTGATCAACTAAAGAAGGGGATGCTAGTTGGCGTCAATCACGAGGAAATTTTAACCTTGAAGCAAAAGGTTTTTAGCTTTCTTGATATTCATTTCGTATTGTTAGTTGTTACCTGTTACACATGCTTTCAGTGATTTGTAACCGTACTTGCTTTTCTATTTTATTTGAACTGTTATATGTGTAGTTAGAAGAAGGTCAAGTGAAAATGCAATCAAGATTGGAAGAAGAGGAGGAAGCCAAAGCTGCTCTTATGAGTAGGATCCAGAGGCTAACCAAACTCATTCTGGTTTCCTCAAAGAATGCAATTCCTGGATATCTAACTGACGTTCCCAACCATCAACGTAGTCATTCTGTTGGCGAGGATGATGTGAGCTCATCCTCCCGTTAACTAACGCAAATTGTTTCTCACTATCTTTTCAATTTTCATTCTGAAAGTGCTTATACTTTAAACTTCTCAGATGACCTGTCTGTCACTAATTTAGTAAATCATTATTTGGTGAACATGCTTGAAAGCCTACAGTGGATTTTATATGAACCATTCCTGGATGTTCCTCTTATGTCCAAAAGAAACTTTTCATCATGTGATTTTTGGAACAAGTTACAAACACTATGTAAAACGTGTGCTTTATTTTTTCAGAAATTTGATGCCTTGTCTGATAGTGTGTTGATTGAAAATGAGAGTCAGAAAGATACTTCTGCAGTGTCATCAGATCTGTCTCATGACGTTAGACATAAAAGATCTTCTAGTAGATGGAACGAAGAGTTCTCCCCAGCTAGCAGTACTATTACTGAATCCACACAGGCTGGTGAACTGATCAGTAGAACAAAATTAACAGTGGTAAACTCATAATACTTCTCTTTAACAATATATATATCTTTTTAACATTTAAATCACACCTCTCTCAGTTTACGTTTTCAAATAAATTTCTCAGAGAGATGAAGTCGTATTAGGTGGGGGATCAGTAACTTAAAACAGTATATATCGAGGGCCAAGTTGTTTTTTTAATTTTGCTGATTTCAAAGCCCGAGTGATGGAGTAGGGCTGTTGAGCATGCACAAGCTAGAGCATCGTAGGAAGGGCATTTATCTAACTAGGATTGCAATCACATAATTACAACTTAGCCAAACCTTTTTCTTATTTCTCATTCATGCACTCATCGTTTGAGTTGTTGGTTGCTGTGTACTTTATTAAAATTGTTACTTGGGACTGCTAATTTAATTGTAGGGTGGGATGACTACGTCTGATCAGAAGGATCTTCTTGTTGAACAAGTCAAAATGCTAGCTGGAGATGTTGCTTTAAGTACCAGCACATTGAAGCGCTTGATGGAGCAATCTGTAAAGGACCCTGAAGGCTCCAAAACTCAGGTATTTTTCTTTGTTTTCAAACAATGTCGCATTGAAATGTGTTGGTATAAAAAGAATATGGAATTAATAATCAGTAACTATATCTAATTTTTTTATATACGTCAATACTGATGTGACCAAATACATGTTCCAACAATGTCAATCAAGTTTGTTTGATTTGTTTACTGATGCCAACAATATTTTTGTTTTGTTCCGATTACCTTCACATTTGCTGTAATCCTTGGTACTTGACGTGCCATTTTTAAGCTAGTGATAAAATTATAACAAAAATTACAGGTTTCATTCCTAATGGAAATGCATGTATTCTTAGAAAATGCTGTATCAATTACAGATTGAGAACTTGGAACGAGAGATCCAAGAAAAAAGGAAGCAAATGAGGGTGTTAGAACAAAGATTAGTTGAAATTGAGACTGGAGATTCTCCAGTGGCTAACTCATCACTAGTTGAAATGCAGCAGGTTAGTGATGTTGGTATTGGAATTAGTAATATCGATTTCAAGCTGCATATTTATGCAAATGCTTTGATAAAGCTCATTTATACTTTTTCTTTATGGGGTTGTTGTGACAGACAGTCACAAGGTTAATGACTCAATGTAATGAAAAAGCCTTTGAGCTGGAGGTTAGTAGTACTTTAGCTTTGTTTGGGTGTTATTGAGCTCTCAATTTGTGCCCCCATCCCCCTAGTATTTGGGAATTGCATTATACATACTCCGTTATCAACATAGATCATTATCTTAAAAAATTAATTTGTCTTTTTAAAATATCTGTAGCTAAAATCTGCAGACAACCGTGTCCTTCAGGAACAGCTAAATGATAAGGTACTTTCTTCTATTTTTGTGCTATTTTCTTAACTTTTTTACCTTTAAGCTAAACAAGTCTTCTTGGATCCTTATGCCATGGTTTTCTTTCTGTTTTCCCTCCCTGTAGCTAAAAATGATGGAAACCTGATAAGTATACAAGTTTCTATTTTCATAGTCTCCCTTTTCAATTTTTCTTTTGTTAACAGTGTTCTGAAAACCAAGAGTTGCAAGAAAAGGTGAAGCAGCTAGAGCGGCAACTTGCAACAGTTCCTAGTGGTACATTTTTAATGTCTTCTGAACAGTGTGCATCAGGAGAACATGCTGATGAATTGAAAAAGAAAATACAATCCCAGGTAACTTTTTTTTTTTTTTAGTAGAATATTTTATATGCCTTTTAATTCCGTTCACTTCTTTTGTATGATTTTGCATTCTCTATTTGTCAAAATACTTTCTTCGCTTTGCTAAATAGTTATTTAAAGTAATTTAAGGCTTCAGTGCATTGTGTAGTAAAATAACATTCCTCTTCCCTACTTTCAGGAAATTGAAAATGAAAAACTGAAGCTAGAGCAAGTTCACTTGTCGGAAGAGAATAGTGGGTTGCGTGTGCAGAATCAGAAACTCTCTGAAGAAGCTTCTTATGCCAAGGAACTGGCCTCTGCCGCTGCTGTGGAACTGAAAAATTTGGCTGGGGAAGTGACAAAACTTTCATTGCAGAATGCAAAGTTGGAAAAAGAAGTGAAGGCTACTCGAGACCAGGTCAACTCTCGTAGTGCTGTTGTGCAAACAGTTAATGGTGTTAACCGCAAGTTCAGTGATGCCAGATCTGCAAGGAAGGGGAGGATTTCTAGCCGTGCTAATGACATTTCAGGAGCTGTTGTGGATGATTTTGAGTCATGGAGTCTTGATGTTGATGATTTAAAGATGGAACTACAGGCTAGGAAACAGCGGGAGGCAGCTCTGGAGGCTGCATTAGCCGAGAAGGAATATGTGGAGGAACAGTACAGGAAAAAAACTGAAGAGGCGAAGAAAAGAGAAGAAGCCTTGGAGAACGATTTAGCAAATATGTGGGTCCTTGTTGCTAAGTTAAAAAAAGAAGGGGATGCTGTTCCAGAATCGAACATGGATAAACAAAATGATGGTGCAGAACACATAAATGATACAAAAACTAATGACGTTGAAAGTAATATAGTTCCCAAGGAACAGCTTTTTGATGCACCAAAACCAGATGATGAAATTCCCAAAGAAGAGCCACTGGTTGTTCGCCTCAAGGTAACCCTATTCTGCAATTATTTATATCTTTTTCTTCGTCATAGACAATTTAAATTGATTATTTTTAGTTAGTTCTGAAACTATTAACTTTAGGTAGGGAAGAAGGAAAATAAAGAATAAAGACCATGAATAATGGAATATTAAATCAATGTGAAATGATTTTGATGAAAAATACTGACTCAATATTCTTATATATATATATATATATATATATATATATATATATATATATATATATATATATATCTTACATGTCTTTAGAGTGACTAGGAGTTACAGCTTATTGATTATATTAGTTTAGACTAGTGAGTTTAAATGAGCACTATCATGCTTCTATTCTTTTGTTGAAAATATACCGTACCAACACAGGAAGTATGCCCATGCCCAATCTTTTGTAAGAAGACATACGAAGCTGACAAAACTTGTCTGCAATTTAAAATTAAATAAAATAACTAAATTCTTTTAATCATACATCATAATGATTGTCACAAGAGAGCCAAATAAAAATTGATTCTTTTGCAAACATCCAATTATAAGAAACGATGCGATTTTATGTATTTAAATTGTGATTTGCAACAAACGACTTTCTTAATGCTCGATGTATTGGACCTTCATCGTGAAAATTAGTAAGATATTGTTTAAATAAATTTACTACAAGTGTTGATGTAGACATTTATTTAAGTATGACCGTATTAGCTATTGCACTTCTAAAGTGTTTTCTCTGACTTCAAATCATTGTTTGTTTGTTCTGTCTTATTTGAGTATTCAATGAGTAAAAGAAAAAAAATGTTATCATAATAACTATCAAATAAAAATTATGATAAAAACACTAATTCAATATTAATTTTATTCATAGTGCATGTACACGTCATTTGAGAGATATTCACTTCATAAAATTTGTAATGCAACTCATTACAAGAGACCTTGGTGGTGTCATCTTAATAAGGTAAGTACAATTTATGATTTCAGGCGCGCATGCAAGAAATGAAGGAAAAAGAACTGAAGTACCTTGGGAATGGTGACGCCAATTCTCATGTTTGTAAAGTATGTTTTGAATCTCCAACTGCAGCAATTCTGCTTCCATGCCGACATTTTTGTTGTAAGTCTTTTCCTATCTTGCCTGAATCTGTTAATCTAATTTTTGTTGGTAATTTTCCTTTGGGTTTACAATTTTTGTCAGAATACTTATAGTCTCCTGTTTGATCTTGCAGTGTGTAAATCTTGCTCACTTGCTTGTTCTGAGTGTCCAATATGCCGCACAAATATTACAGATAGGATTTTTGCATTTACATAACAGAGGTCCTGCCACTATCTTGCAATAATTTTGCGAACTCTATTAAAATTAAAATGTTGTAAATTATTAACGATTTTCGTTTATGGTTCTAATTTTTGCAGGGCTCATCCGATTGAGTTATATACTGCATGATATTATGGATGCAATTCTTTTATTAGTTTTCCTGTATGTAAAGCCGTTTAAAAGGTATATCAACATCTTCTTTCTTTTATACTACCCCATGGGAACTGTATAATAGGGGAGACAAAGGGGTGGGAAGAAAGAATGTAAAAAGGAAAAAGGTGTTACAGCACTGCTGAAGTACATATGCACTATACGATTGTTTTATGAAATACAGCTGAATTTTGTTGCCCATCCTGTGTATGTCCTTTACCGAGTGTAAGAGCAGTGAAGTTACTTTTTTGTTCGCCTGCTGCACTACCAACGTTATTTCATGCCCATTTGTCATTATGTTCATACCCATTATCTAACGGAATGCCAGGACCAGTCTTACATTTTATTTTTCTAAAAGTAATTTAGAAAATATAAATTGTTAAGCACTTAGGAAAACTATTAGTGAGTAGCACATTAGTGATTTGTATTGGATCTTGAAGGAAAGTATATATACGAAGACGACAGCCAATGTAATGTGTTATAGATTTCGTTTTTAAATTTCCATTATTCAAGAAGACTATAGGCGTGGGGTGATCTCCTTGGAGGGCGGTTGCCCACAATAACCAATTCAAGACTCAGGCATGGGCGTCCATTACTTTTGTTTAGACTAAAATTTTCGTTGATAACAAAACCAAACATGCGGTCAAATGGTTCAGGAACTGAAAATTCGGGACAGTGCCTTTTATCTTTATTTTCAACCCATGTTTCCTATAAAGTCAATTACTCATGGTGAGTGTTTGTGAATAAGTTCCTGATGATTGGTCATGTACATAATAATCCAGAGAGTAAAGTTTTCGAAATCCGAACTTCACCTATTAAATTGTGCTGTAGATGTTTTGTTGTGTTTTAATTTAGAAAGGTGTCGTTCATTTGAGGAGTCTTGCTCAACGCACGATTGGCAGTTAAATGTGAACAGTTAAAAAAAAAATAAACGGTGATTTTAGTAGCTCTAATATTGTCCACGAAGTTAAATCCTCAGATACCGCTTTTGGTTATTTCTAGAGGTCGCCTAAAAATATGTTTAATAATAATTTTAAAAATAAAATATTCTTACCATAATTTTTAAGTGACAAAATAATATTTAAATAAAATTTTAATTTAGTTAGATATAATTGTATTGCTCAATTTGATTTAGTCAATAAATTGTACTTTTTTAAGTTAAATAATTAAAAAAATGACTATTTAATGAGTTTTGGTGCTAAATAAATGTTATGCATAAAAGTCATTATTTTGCCAACCAAATTGGCGTTACTATTTTTGTAACCAAATTGAGGATAAAATGTAATAGCATTTTAATTTTTGTTGTTAATAACTCGATGAGCGTATATGCGCTTTATTTATAAAAAGAAAAGGTGAAACCATTTCAATCGGGTATCGAAGACGACGTATGATTATAGGCTTGTTACAAGAAATGCAAACAAGGCAATTTGTATCGCTGACATTTTCCTGTTCAGGTTGGGTAGACTATATATAGACTAGCATTCCCAAGTATGTTAAAATAATATCTGGAGTGTGTTTAAATAGATTCTTTAGTTAGTAACAAACTCTCAACATATAATCATTTATATTATGAAATTTATGAAACTTCATAAAGTAAGTTACAAAGAACATGTTTGGTAAACTGTATCTCATAATTTATGTTACCAATAAATAAGTTTGGTGTCATGTGTTTTTAAGAGATGACTTATGGTATGCTTAATTGGGAAAGAAAAATAATAATAATAATAATAATAAACGAAAGAAGCTACGAATAAAAATATTTTTTCTTTTCTTTTACTTAGAGGAAGTCCAACACATTTTTAAGTTTGAAATAAACTTGGAAGAGTAAAAAAAATAAAGAACGAAAGATCTTCTAAAAAATGAAACTGTTTTTTAATCTGGCAAGATTCAAAGCTCAATTCATAAAGAAAAACATACACGCACCTTATTATCATTACATTAATTAAACTATTGATAATGTAATTAAAAATAACAAATAATATATTTATTTATTTATTTTAGTCTAAAGCTAATGATTTGATCAACTAGCAAATAATAAAAAATATAATACTAAATTTAAAACAACTTGTCTATTTATTCAGGTCTAAAGTTAATGATTTGACCGACATTGTGTTTGAATTATACTTAGTTTTACTCTCTTTTATTTCCTTTCATGTCAGTTTCAAAAGTTTCCCTCATTTTTCATTTTTTCTTTATTACTTCCAACACTCCATAATGGTTTGTTCGATAAAAAGGAAAATAAGTGTAAGCAAAGAAAAAAAAAAACAGAGGAAAAATTATTTTTATTTATTTTAGAGGAAAATGATATAAAAAATAAATAAAATATTTATTTTTAAAATAATAAATAATTAAATTAAAATTATTTATTTATTCAAAAATAAAATTATTTATATAATTATTAATTATAAAATGTTTTTTAAAATAATATCTTTAAATCAATATTTTATTTTTTTAATAATATATATTTTGAAATATAATTATAAAATATTTTTTATTATAAACTATTTTTAATTATTTAAAATTACATTAATAAAATAATACTATATTACAAACAAATACAAATATATATAAAATTATTCGTTTGATTTTTATAATTATTTTTACATTTTATTAAAATAGTGATTAAAAGTATACATACATATTAAAATTATAAATATAAAATAAATAATTATTTATTTAAATGATAATAGTTTTATAAAATAATATTTCTTTTACATTTTTTATCCTTTGTTATTTTTTTTTTCAGTCACTTTTTACTCTACACTTCTTATACGAACATGGCCTAAATATAAATAACATAAATCTTACAAGAATGAGAATTTAAAGAGGAAATACAAGAATAAGAATTTAACATTACAAATTACTTACTAGAAGTAAAAAACGCAAACATATTAAGTGTTGAGAATTTTAGGGATTTGGTACTCATGTTTATATTTTTAATATATGATACAAAAGGATTTATTTATATTTTATTCATGTATAATAATAATAATAATAATAATAATAATAATAATAATATAATAATAATAATATTATTATTATTATTAATAAAATTTTAAATATTAATAATATTTTAATCTTATATATTTAAATTAAAATAACAAGGTAATATATTTTTTATTATTTTAATTAATAAAAAAATATTTGTTTCTTGTGAACTCTATGATAGTAATATTATTATACTTTTGATGAATATAAAAAAGTGATTTCTCATTTACATATTATCCTTCTTAATATAAGTTTCTTCAAGAAATATGTATTATATTTTTCTTTTTATTCTTATTTTATATCTTCATTAATAATAAACTCTTTCAATTTCTGCAGATTTTCAACTCAAGTTTCTATATTCCATGATCATATTTTTTTAATCTTTTGTTTTTCTACTTGAGAGTCTCATATTTAGTCTTCAAAAACTCTTCAATCTTCTACTTCTTTAGACACATCTATTACAACATTTTATACATATGAATTAATTATTTTTTAAAAGAGTATTATTTCTTGAAGTATTACTTCTCAACAATAATGTTAACCTAATGGGTTGTTGATCTAATTCTTTTTTAGAATTTTTTTACTTTTTTTAGGTATTTCATATTTATCTCTTAAATAATTTTAAATTTCATTAGATGATTTTAGGATCATGATTACGATGAGAATCACAAATGAAATATGCACATATAAATAATTTTATTTTTGTCTTTCTCATTGTTCATTCATTTTGGATTTTGATTTAAAATGTGGTAAAAATTTTAGGATATACATCAATAATATAATTCTTTCTCTCAACTTTTCATAAATCTAACCTTTTGATATATAATTATATTCGACGCTCATAAGTCATAATTTTTATTATTAAAAGGCGAAAGAATATTTTTTTCTTCAACTAAAAATCAAAACTTTGATACTATTATTAAAAATTTTAAAATTTTATGTATTTATTATATATATATATATATATATATATTAGAATTTATTAAGTATCTTTTATTTATATTATATGTATAGTAAAATTATAATAAAATATTAAATATTAATAATATTTCGGTCTTAATTATCTAAATTAGAATAATAAAGTAATATATATTTTTTATTTTAAATATAATAACATTAATTTAATATATACTTTAAATAAAAAATAATAAAATATATTTTTTCAATATTAAGAAATTGAAGGTTTTAATTAAATTACTAATTATAGAAATCATAAGCGGAACATATAATTGGAAATTAAAGTTGTTAATATATAAGAGAAATAATATATAAACAGCCCTTGACTACCTAAAATTCCGGTCAATTTTTTCTCTTCCCTTTATCTCTGAGCGTCAAATAACATTTTCTTCCAACGGAACTAATCAGAAGAACAAGTAGATAGAAAGATTTAGTCTCTGTTCGAACAAAACTTTGACGTAAAATTTGTAGTTGAAATTAGTTGAAGTAAACATCTTAATAATGTTCAATACTTGAAGATTAATTGTATGAAATACAGTTGTAATTAAATTTGAAAGAAAAATGGCCCTTGCTGCACCAACCCCCTTACGTTTTGAAGGTTGTGTGAAGTCGTTCTCTGAATATCCCCATGGTGACGACATTAACAGCATGAAAAATCCTGCTACCCATCACGATCAATCAACGTCGCATTACAACTACGCGTAAACTGTCGGTTGTTCTTGTTTTTTAATAGCATTGACTATGAATTATGACAATTTGATGGACATGTTACGAAAAATCCTTCCTTCGTAATTCATTTACATCATTTTTTATACGCATAAAGTTACAAGTCATATCAACAAAATGCTAAAAGCTTTAGCCGACTTCGAGTTTAAGAAAGTGGAGCATAATATTCAGTTTCTCTATTCAATCAATTCATGTCCATGTTAATGAAAGCATGGACCCCAGAAAATATTATACTAATCTACCAAATCAAAATAGTAGTACTAAACACTAAAATAAGAGGCTGAAGCAGAGCTTGGGAGTACAGAATGAAAAATAAAATTGTTTAAAGAATGCAAGCAGAGAATCCAAAAAGGAATGCAGATGACAAAACCAAAGAAGATATTTTTCGACAGATGTTTACAAACAGTTGATCTAGATTTTTTATCAATTTATGACTAGTTTAAGGAACGGCACAACCATTACATCCCCATTTGGAATTTCCATAACTCCAACCAAACACATCCTAACTTGAACTGGATCCTGGTCCTGAAACGCCCAACGATGATCATAGTTCTGCTTCTGCGACGACAACAACAAAACCACAGCAACAACAAACACGGTTCAAAGCTGTTAAATAAAAGTTCGGAAGAAAAACAGGTTGTACTTGTAATAGTTGTATCATATTATAAGGTGTAAAGCAAACCTTACAGAAACCATTAGGTGCAAATGAAGCATCAAGGAGCTCTTCGAAACAGTAACCGGGTATTGTCTCGATCAAGTACTCAGAAATGCTGCTGGTCGAAACCGAACCAGTGTCACTGGCCACGTTGTCTTCGACCTTGCAAGAAGAGCTGAGATTTTCATTGGAAACTGATCTGGGTCTGCTGATTCTAGATCGAGAGTTTCTTCCTTCCGAGGCAGTGAGTGTATCAGTGCAATTGGTGGAGGAGGAAGCAGGGTCCAAAGAAGTAGCAGAGAGCTTCACACCCGTGAGAAGAAACCTGTTATGTTTCTGGGTAAGCTCATTCGCTCTGTGGATTGGAAGGTCACATTCCCTGCATAGCAATGCCCTGTCTTCTTGGCAAAATAGATATGCACGCTTCTCCTGTTAAAAAAAGTCACTACTCAGTACTTGAAAACAAAGACCAAGAATGAAGAAGAAGTAATATCTGAAAATAAGAAAATTCACATAAAAAAGTGAACTTTGCTTTTGGAAGATGGAACTTCTGATGACATAGTTAAGTGGCTGTTTCTATATATATTTGTGTGTATATATATGAATGGTAGATCGATATTTGAAGAAGAGGGTTATGGAAAATGGAAGGGAGAAGAGAGTACTTGGCAAATATCACAAAGAGGAAAGTCTTTGGAGGTGGGGTAGAGGAGAGAGAAGCGAGGGTGTTTGGTTGCAAGCTTGTTGGCGTGGTGAATGGTGCGATCACAGCCATGGCAAAGAGCAGCTTCATCTGCAGGACAGAAGACTGAGGCTTCCACTTTGTCACACACATCACACTGGATCTTCATCTTTTTCTCTCTTCTCACTTTTGTGGTTCTTCGTTTCTGAGAATAAGAATGGAAAAGAAGAGAAGGCCTTCTTTAATGGATGGTGGGGTGGGGTGGGGGTTGTGTATGGGGACAAAGAAATTATGGGCGACTTGGCTTTAGGTTTAGGCCTATTTAGTGTCTTCTCTGACTTTCACAGAATTCTGGATTGGATATATGCATTCATTTCCCTTTCTTTCTAGTAAGTTGGGAGAGACCAACTTGCATCTCCTTCTCCTACTACTACTACTACTATTATTATTATTATTATTATTATTATTCTACACATATTCCAAACTCTTTCACTCACTCCCTCTCTGTGCTTCTCAACTCTCGGGCATGGTCTGCGTTATCCACTTCCTTTGTTCATTCTAACTTTTTATCTTCACTTTGCCTTAATCACCCATCATCACTGTTCCAAATCATGCCCTAACCACAGACAAACAAACATAGGTCCTGCTTCCAACAAAGTAATGAACCATTGAAACCTAAACTTCTAAACCTTTACACTATTTTTCGTTTATATCTCATCAATTATTTTATCTCGTGCCTTTTCTTTTCTTTTCTATACCAGCGTCTGACTTTTTGCATAAAATCCATTTTACAATATTATTTTGTCTTTTTATCTCTCTATCCTATCGTCTATATATCTCATTTCACATTTTTCTTGTCCTCTCTTCATTCTCCATTTCTCTTGTAATCATAAAAGAGACTGTAAAAAGTATTGCACAAAACATATATCTGCATGATGTACACCCCATAATTTATTCGTGGACACTCATACATTACATCTTTCACCATCCAAAGCTGATTTACTTTGAGTTATTTGTATGTTATGATTATAAACTTTATAGCAGATTATAGACATATAGATATTTGCAAATACTTATTAAACTAGCATATACATTAAAAACATATTTGAATAAATTTCTTCGTAAGGATTTACTAAAGAAAAAAATTTAAAATTAACTGTGTATTAGTCCAAATTTAAAATTGAATTTTGGATAAAGTAATGTAAATCATCTTTACTAATAAATTTATATGTAGAAACTAATTTGTCGATATTTTTAAAAATGCTTAAATAATATCAATAGAAAATTTTAAGTAGGGATAGGATTGTTAACTTCTTGCCCTAGCCTTTTCTCTATTAATATTGCTATCCAAATATATTTCTAACAACACATGGTCTTATAGTGATTTATTTCATGTATTTTCTTCTTGGATTTAACCCTAATTAACATGTTAGGCAAATTTCCTTAGTTGGTTATCACTTCAATCATTCTTATTGCTGTCTTCTAAAACCATCATTAATTAATAACTATGCCCCCATTACCAAAGTCGTTTTTGGATTATCACAAGTTAAATCTATTACAATATATATCCCTATTATATTATTTATTATATTTTCTACCTCTGTTTTTCTATATTTATCTTTGAGCAACAAAAATAGAAATGGTCGTTTATTTATGTATAGAAGTTGGTATTCGACTTTAGAATTTTTCTGACACTTGTTTTTAAAATAACTAAAATATAATTAATGGAATGTATTTTATATTTTTACACCATGTATCTAGGATAATAACACATTAAAAATGTATAGCAACAATATTTTTTTTCTGAAATTCGTAATAGAAATTAAATTAGGATTTGAATAATCTTTGCAGTAGTAATAATAATATCTTGATAGATACCTCTTAACGTAGTCTTCACGATCTTCAAGCTCATACATAAATTGTGACATTATGAGGCATCAATTATTGCGACGTGCCATACCTAAAAGAAAAAGATTTATGATACAGAATACGTGCTTTTGTCAAAATATAGTTCCTAGTCCCTACTCTCAAACTCTTGTCAGACCCTCTTTTTACACTTTATATCCATTCCCAAATTTTAAATGCCCAATAATGAAATAGATGTAACGTAACATGAAAGTACCACCCATTTTTAACAATTTTTACTAGTACAAAAAAAACACTTTTAACATAAGACTTTTTATATCGGTTGTTAAAGAATCAATGTAGAAATTTTTTTAAAGCCTTTCCACATCGGTTCAGATGCTTTCTACATCGGTTCCACCATGAACCGATGTGGAAAGTGCTTTCTACTCTGTTTTAAAATAATTCTGATCGGTCATAAACTCATTCTGATCGATCATAACCAAAAAATGTGGATGTCGCTCGAGCGAGACAGTGTCGCTCAAGCGAAAAACCACCCGAGAAGGCCAATAATTTTGTGCAGGTGGCGTCGCTCGAGCGAGACAATGTCGCTCAAGCGAAAAACCACCCGAGAAGGCCAATAATTTTGTGCAGGTGGCGTCGCTCGAGCGAGACAGTGTCGCTCAAGCGAAAAACCACCTGAGAAGACCAATAATTTTGTGCAGGTGGCGTCGCTCGAGCGAGACAGTGTCGCTCAAGCAAAAAACCACCCGAGAAGGCCAATTTTGTGGAGGTGGCGTCGCTCGAGCGAGACCAGTGTCGCTCAAGCGAAATACAACCCGATAATGCCAATTTTGTGCAGGTCGCGTCGCTCGAGCGATCTTATTGTCGTTTGAGCGAGTGTTGACCTGCACTTTCTACATCGGTTCCCCCATGAACCGATGTGGAAAGTGCTATCTACTACGATTTAAAACAATTCCGATCGGTCATAATCTCATTCCGATCGATCATCCGGTTCGATCGGTCATCAAGCCATTCCGATCGGTCATCGATATACCATTTTACTTTCTACATCGGTTCCCCCATGAACCGATGTGGAAAGTCTTAAAAAAATTTTAGTAGACTCCACTCTTGCCCTTACGGACTCGACTCCCGGACCCAATTACGAGACTCGACTCCCTGCGGAATTCTTCCCTTGCTCCTAGCCATTACCAAATTCATTCTCGCGATGAGCGAAAACCACCGTCTCCTTGCCCCTATCGCAGTAGCGAAAACCACTTGTCTCTCCCATCTCCTTCCCCAATCGAATCCCTAACCTCCGTTTCCCCAATCGAATCCCCAAGCGAAAACCACCCTTGCCGTGCACCAAGAAGCTGCGACGCGCACCGGGAAGCTGCGACGCGCACCAAGAACTGCGACGCGCCACCCTCGTCTTCACCTCTCCGAAACCCTCTAGGAGCTCCTCCTCATTGCACCTGCGCACCTTCGATCTCGTCGCGAACCGAGAGGTGATTCGGACCAGGTCCGTGGGTCTATCCTATTGGCTTCTCATCCTTGTTTTGTCAATTACCTTTATGCATTTTCCTTGATTCTGGATTGTTTTGTTTGGTCGTAGACCGATTCTGCACTGGGTTTAATGTATGTAGACATGTTTATTACGGGTTTTGTATTATTATTTCCGTTTAGTTTGACTTGAATATGTGATTTTCACTTGGTTATTCTCGTGGGGTTGAGATTGGTGTTATCCAAGCCCTGTTGGGTTGGTTGATGTCGCTCTGGTCCGAGTCTCTTAGCGGAAGAGTTAAGGCTATGTGTTTCCACGCTGGGGTGTAGGGCTTTGGGGTATTGATTATATTTAGTTCTCTTGTTTTTCATTTGGGTTTGTTTTTTATGTTGTTGATTTAGGTTTGTTCTTTGTGTTGTTTGTTTTGTTCCTGGAGTTTTACTGTTGTTCCAGTACTATTTCAGTTTGGATTATCGTTTGAGTTGTTTAAGTTTGTTGCCTCTGAATTGAGGTAATTCCATTTTCACACTAAGCAAAGACGTCATGTAGTTATAGATATGGATCGGAGTTGGATAAATGCCAAACGTATAGAAGAAGAATATGAATTAGGGGTTGAAGAGTTCTTAGAGTTTGCACAGAGAAATGTGGGTAACAATAGAGGATGTCTAGTTACCTCAACAATGCTGTTGCGGAAAAGGGAGTAGAAGATGTCTATGGATTCATTGATCCTGTCCACATTCAGAGTTTGGGGAACAAACCAAATACTATTCAAGCATATATTCAAAAGAGATTTTGTGAAGGATCAAAGGAAGTTTATCTCGCACCATATCATTATGGGTAAGTTTTTTTAAATTACTTACTTTCAAACTTTGAATCTCTTAAGAATTGCTAATTGAACGACATTTTTTGTAGGTCTCACTGGCAACTGTTTATCCTTTGTCCTAAACGTAATGAGACTATTTTTTTATGCTCTTTATGGAATAAACCCAAAAAGGAAATTAAACAGATTATTGATGTGTAAGTATACTAACACCCTTATATATGAATCTGTCTTTGTGACTAATTAAATACTCTAGGTCTGGTTCATGACAGATTAAATATGAAGTATTTTCCATTTAATCTTTTATAGGTGTATAGAAGCATACTCAGTCATGGAGGGTAAGCCTAAAAAGAAACCCACATGGATACTTCCACGTGTAAGGACATTATCTTTCAAATTCTTAACTTTAATTTACTCATTTTCTGTATTTAATGTTTTTTTTTCTTATAGTGTAATAAGCAAAAAGGAAGTTGGGAGTGCGGATATTATGTGATGAGACATATGTTAACAATCATCACAACAAATATCACAGATTCATGGAATTTGGTATGTGTTATGACTATATCTATGTCATTGACATATATTTGCCTACTTCTGCTTATCTGAAATGTTGTTTTTTTGTTTGTAGATATTCGATGATGGTCATCCAATAAGTGAAGCAGAGATTGATGACATTAGACGAATTTGGGCAGATTTTGTTATTAAGAACTATAGTCGTGATTGAATTTAATTGTGAAACATTAGGACTTGCTAGTTTCTTTGTATATATAAACTTAGAATACAATACATGTTTATTGTTTTTGTTGATACAATACAATGTAGATATATAATATACATTATGTTTACTTGTGTGTTAATGCATGTCCTCTATATATAGATTAACATTCTGAGCAGTTGTAAATATTTAAAATGTCTGTACGAGTTCGAAAAATCAAAAACTAAAATTCGTATTTAAAAAAAAATATGACTTTTCCACGTCGGTTATGGCCATAACCGATGTAGA